TGGTAGTAGTAGTAGTAGTAGTAGTAGTAGTAGTAGTATATAGTAGTAGCAGTAGCAGTAGCAGTAGCAGTAGCAGTAGCAGTAGCAGTAGCAGTAGCAGTAGCAGTAGCAGTAGCAGAAGTAGTAGAAGTAGTAGAAGTAGTAGAAGTAGAAGTAGTAGTAGTAGTAGTAGCAGTAGTAGTAGTATATAGTAGTAGCAGTAGCAGTAGCAGTAGTATATAGTAGTAGCAGTAGCCGTAGCAGTAGCAGTAGCAGTAGCAGGAACAGTAGCAGAAGTAGTAGAAGTAGTAGAATTAGTAGAAGTAGTAGTAGTAGTAGTAGTAGTAGTAGTAGTGGTGGTAGTAGTAGTAGTAGTAGTAGTAGAAGTAGTAGTAGTAGTAGTAGTAGTAGTAGTAGTATTTGTCTTGGTAGTAGTAGTAGTAGAAGTAGTAGTAGTAGTAGTAGTAGTATGCTTCATTCACATCCCTGTGCCAATTCCCCAGGGTTTAGTTCCCTGGCGAATTATGAATATTGGCGGGTGTGTCTTTCGATATCTTTTTTTATCTATATTTAGATTTCCATTTATGTTTAATTATGTTTATTTGTCTTTTTTCTTAGTTGACTTTATTTGTCTTCTTGCCTTTATTTTGACTTTTTTGTTTGTGCCAGTGCGTGGTCGTAGTCGTAGCTGTAGTCGTCGTGATAGCCATAGTTGTAGTACTAGTTGTTGTTGTTGTTGTTGTTGTTGTTGTTGTCGTTGCCGTTGCGATTGCTATTGCTGTTCATGTTTGTTCGTGTGTTGTAGGTGTCGATGGGTATGGTGACAAGTAACACAACATGCCTTGGATAACCCTACAGTAAGACATAAGCGCTTCCTTCTCAATCATCCCGGCCTCGAACCCGCAACACGCGTGGGGACATGTGGGCACTGTTCCAAGCTGTATGTCGTTGAGTTGCCGTCATATCATGTCGGTCCATGCTTCACTTCTGTGTTTCGGAATTAGTCTTGCAGACAGTGGCACTAAAACTGAATCTAGTACGAGCACTGAATCAAAAACATAAATCACTCCAAGAGCCTTTAACAAAACAAGGCGGAACGCCTGTAAGCCTACAGCCTGAATCATGTACCCCAGGCGCTTTACCCGAAGCCACTGTCCTCGAAACTCTTCAACAAAAACCCTCTCCCAAGAAGCATGCGCAGGGAGCCTCGCTGCTGCAGAAATCTTCTGCTCCAGCGCCTGGTAGCCGCGTGACAGCCGCGACAGCCGAACTAGCGCTCAGTGCTCATTAAGCTTTAGTATTTGGGTTTAGCGTGCAGGGAATCCCTTCGTGTCTGGGGTTGTGGCGGTTTTAGCTGCCCGCAGGATTTTGGAACAAGGAAACTTGGAATTCATCTCGGAGGCTGAGCACGGAGCATTTTCAGGATTAAGGGTATTCTCACTCTCGACATCCGATTCTCTATATTTATGGCTTTCCACGCACAACTTTTGTTGAGTGCCGAAATTGCTGACATCGTTTTATGATCCTGCTTCTCAGCGGGGTCACAGCCAGGTGTGTTGCGGTATGTTCCGAGAATCCTCATCTGCCCACGCATCCCAACTGCCGCCAGACCCTGCAAACTAAGCAGGGGCCCGGGGTTGTGTGTTTAGGCTGCTCCTGAAAGGCCAAAGACCGCAGACACCCACAACCCCAAGCAAGAATGCTCGTCCGCCAACTCCTCTCCAGTTGCACCCGGAGACTGCTTGTCAGCCGTAAAATGAACCGTCCAGCTCGAAACCCTAAAAGCCATGAGGATCCCGTTACAACAATCCTATACAGCCTGCATGACCAGTCCAGAACTTCCTTGTTTTAAGCCCAGAAATACCTAAACCTCTGAGCCAAATCCTAGCTCGAAATTCAGGATTGTTTATTTTCCTCCTGCAGATATGAGAGCTTCAGGAAAATCCGGGCCTCCGACATCGTCCCGAAAGGCCTGCCTTAATTCCGAACTCGACCCCAACCCGAAGCCCCCAGCCCAAATCCAAACACACCAGATCAGAGTCCCCCCTTCCATGTAACCATACTGTTGATGGACAAAATTCTGCATGACCCAAATATAGTATAGTACCATAAATCCCATAGTTTAGGTACATAAAGTCATGCAGGATTTTGTCCATCAACCGTAAGAGCCCCTTGACCTCCAGAAATCCGAGAGACTCACGACGAAATGTGAGAACCCTCCTCCCATACAGCGCGGCTCTAAGACCCGAAAGCCCTGAAGCCGTCGACTTCATCTGCTGAACATGGGCTTGGGGTCCTTACGCTGACTGATGACAGTGCCCCTTACCTAAACTGTAAACCAAGACCCAGGCCTATTCGGTGAGGGGGAAAGGGGCAATGAGAAACTTTTGAAACCCGTACCAATGCCACACAAGCCAAACTAAACCCTCAAAGCTTGAGCGAAACCTCAAAGCATGACCCAACTAGAAAAATGCGATGCCGACACAGTGTGGGTTTATTGTCCAGTGTTTTGGAGCACCCAGGCTATGCAAGCCCCTACAGCCCTACCGTTTACCCTAAGGGTCTCAAAGCCCCTCTACAGCCCTGAAGGCCCGAAAACCCTAAACAACCCTTCAACCCCAGCAAACCCTAAACCCTAAACCCTAAACCCCAGGCCATGCTTCTAAACCTCCTCCGCCTGGGCCGCTGAAGTGACGTTTCTTCGGCTCGGGGCTCCACGATCGAGTTTCTAAAGCAGATTTAACGCGTGAAATTCCTTTGTAGGTTTAGAAAGGGTTAGGGATTCCTGTAGGGGTCCTAAAAATGTTCCTTAGCAAGTTACTAAAGTTACTCTACTGGTGCTAGGAGTTAGGGTTTGAGATTCTTTTCTGTGTTTACGGATTCCTGCAAGGGTCCTGGGCTACTCTAATTGTACTCTACCAAGTATTCCAAAGACTACCCCTTGAAAAACTTGGATTCCAAGCCCTTAACAAATTTCAAATCGCACGGCCCAAATCTCAAACTCTTATTCCCCGGTGGCCCAAGGAAATACAAATTGTAAGCAATCCGATATCCCTCCATCCTGCAAGCTGTCGGAAAACCTGACCATCACCACCAATCATAAAGAACCCCTGTAATCAGCCCTGCGGAAACTCGAAACTTTGTAAGAAGACCCTTGACACAAGAAGAGCAAAAGGGACTGGTCTAGAGCCCTGGGCGGGCAACAAGGAACGTTGGTGGTGCCACACCTGCCAAATAACCCAAGATTCTGAGACGTGCGTGGCGAGGCTTGAAATATACCCATTTTAGAAAAAAAATCTCAAATATTATAATTAAAATTCTTATAATTTATCTCAATGAATAATTACAAATACTACTTATAAGATTCTTGAAATTATCTTAATTATGGCACAATAAATCCCCAAATTCTGGTAATCAAAATACTTATACGATAATTACTATATATATTTCAATTTTGATGGGCTTGCTTAATTAAAATATGAGAATAGTATTGGATTAGTTTTTTAATATTCGAATATTTTTCTTATTTTATTGATTGGTTTTTTGAGGTTAATATATAATATAAATATTCTATTTTATTTTATTGAAATTTAATTGATATTGAATTATAATATTTTCTTCTTATTTAATCCGAATAATAAAATTAATTGATAGGGAGTTATTTCATATAATAAGATTATATATCATGAGATTATTATAATTTTATCGAAATATATTTCGGAGTTTGGTAAATTATATTTTTTATTTCTAGGATTATATTTGAAATAGCTATAATATGGAAATATAAAAGAAATCGCCTCTAAATCTGAACGAGTAAAAATAAAAATTATTTTTTTT